TGTTTTATTTACTAAGCTCTAGAAATATTATTCTCATCCAGCCCTGCAAGGCTTCAGTGGCAAGCCAAATGGAACACATTCACCCCTGAGTTAAAAGCCTTCTTAAGAGTTTCAAACCAATATTTGCCAATCTGTGAGATGATGGAGATGAGGAGTAATAAGCCTTACACCGATCAAGTGAGGTCTCCACATATTAGAAATCTTTCCTCTTTGTCTATTGTGATAGAGAAAGAAAAGTTCCCCCTTTCCTGGTGGCTTACACCACAAAAGCCTTTCACCAACTGACCTGATAGATGAGTGGACCTGTTTCCCTGTGTCAGCTCTTCCTCATGAGGCAGGGTAATCAGGCCCTTGCACAGCCACAGAGGGTGAGCTTGGGTGATGGGATTGAGATGACTCCACTGTTTGTGTTGTGCTACCATATGGGGTGCCATGAGTTTTATTTTATTTTTTTCAGACGTCATGTTCAGTTCCCCAGTGAATAGACCAGGGTGTTACTTCTTTTTACCGTTCTACATGAATTTTTTTTAGAGTTTTTTAGTCTCTAGATTCAAACTACAAAGCCCAGTGGCATCTCTTAGTAATCAGGACTTCTGTTGTCTTCCCATTTTTACATGTTATTTTCTGAGATGGAAGCCATTCTAAGCTGAGTAAATAATGGGCTGTATCATTTAATGTTTTGTGTGAGAAAGGGAGACCTGTCCATGACCCTTCTTCCTCCTTTGCCTCCAATGGACATAAAATAGGCCCCAGGAATCTAAAAATGGAAGCTGCCTTTATTACAGCAGTGCCTGAGAGCAGAGAAATCATTAGCAGGGTGTCAGTGTTGCCATTAGAAGTCTTACTCCTCTGGTGCTTAACGACAGTCCTGAAAGTTTGCTCCTGGCAAAAACCTGACCCCCAAAGTCTCAGTTGGGAAGCAGATTATAAAAATGAATTTTCAAACAACCTGTCCAGCTGTGCTTTTTTTTGGTTATCTTTATAAACTGAAAAGCTGCTTCTGTGACAGGATTCAATTTTATTGGAGATTATGCTATCCATAATACTGTTGAATTATTTTCAATATTCAATTTGAAATAATGGCTCAGTAACCTAATGACTTTTCGAAAATAAGCCTGTGGACCAGAAAAATTCTGCTTGATCAGAAATCAGGGAGGCAGGTGCACCAAGTGAAAGAAGACCTCAGGGTCATGTGTTTACTCAAAAACCACATCCTGTATGTGCATAATATCCTTCCATTAGAAAATAATAAAATCCTTTTTAGTTTAGCAGTGAAGAAAATGAGACACTAATTAATAGAATGACTTACTCCAGTCCCTCAGTGAATCAGCTGAAGAGCCGGAAACCAAAGGCATATCCCTCAGTGACTGATTTTATAAGTAGGGCAGACATATCTTGATGTATTTTTCCTTCCTAGGCACTCCTGGCTTGCGAGGAGCCCCTGGAGTCTATTTCTGCCTACACATTCTCCTCCCTTAGAAAGACTCTCTCTTGCATTTTGTATTCTGGCCAGTCTTCCCAAATAAAAGTTTTCTCAAACTGCACTTGTATATTTCCAATAGCAGAAAATCAGACTTCTGGGTAATAGAAATGCCAGCCTTCATTTGCATGTCTAAAAGCCACTTTGTTCCCACAAAACCAAGTTCTTCTATTGAACATTTGCAGGTGCAATTTCCAAGAGTCTGAGATGAGGTGGCTGCAAATGTGGCCCTTGAAGTAAAAGATGATCAAAATAAATCAAACGATCTCATCACATTAGTAACAACTGAAAGTGAACGTAGGAGACATTCCAACCCCCGCCCAGTGTTACTAATGAATTCAAAAGAAGCCAAAATGACAAGGATAATGAACACTGTGAAAACTCTCTTTAAAAGCTTGACTCTTTTTTGTCTTCAAGGATGCACCTGCTGTAAGATGGTCCCAAGTATCCTTGCCTAGAAGCTGTGCTGTCTTTCACCTCACTTCCTTTCTAGTCTGGGACCAACACATGCAGATCCTTTTGTTGAAATTAGCTTGTGGATTATTCCTTTGCTTATACCATTTAGGTTTCTTTGCAAGCTCTGGCTACTGGAATCAGAAAGAAAGTTATTGGAGGGAATAAACAGAAGGTCTCAATAGGCACTGCTCTTGCAAAGAACAGGTGTCTACAGTTACGAATCTTTCTCTGTCACTCCCAAAGTTTTACATCCTAGGGAAAGAGGGCCTGGTGGGACTTAGCTTCTGGTGTCCTCATTCCCTTTAGCAGGGGTGGATGGGACACCTTAATTAACAAGATGTCCTGGCTGGGGGGGCTTCCTAAGAAGCAATGGGATACTGTAACCAGTGAAAGTAAGAGTGCATGCTGGGAAGCCCAGACCAACACTGCACATCCTTCTACACAGGACTCTTCTCATGTCTGTGTGTCTTTATTTTTACCTTAATAGACAAGACAATAAAGTTACACATTAATGGAATTTCAGCATAAATGCAGTTCTGTAATGTCTGGATCTACTATGGGATAGATATTATGACTAGCACATGTAAAGGAGCTGTAGGATATAAGGATGTGTGATAAATTCTCTTACAGTTTTAGTACCAGATAAAGCAAGGTTGCTAATTTTATAAATAAGTATGACTTCTGTTTACAATACTGTTCTTTTCCTTTGTAACTCATGCTTCCCTTTTGACTTTGGCTTCCAGCAAGCCCACGGCTGTATTTATTGCCAAACTATAGCAACAAACAGCTGCCTAATTCTGCAGAAAAACTCCATCCCAGAACACTTGAGTGTTTATCCTCAACTAAAAGGTCCCATGATATGCATGGTTCATATTATGAGTTGTCACAAATCCAATTTGGAAATAGGCAAGGCTTAAATAATAAACAAACACATCAGTAATTTGGATTAAGCTTGGTCTTTGGCAATAGGAAATGCTCAGATCTAAAAGTTTGCTTTGTGTCAAATGCTTGTGAGGCATATTGCTTAAATATAGAGCACTGCTCAGGCGTGTGTCTGCAGCAGGGTGCAGCCCTGGGTGTTTGGGTCTTCCTGCTATGGAGGCCCACACCTGCATTCATCCATCCATGAGGCTGGCTCCTTAGGGAGTCTGCATAGCATCCAATAGGGACATCAGGTTTAAAGAGGTGGTAAAAGAGCAAGGTGCAGATAAACTAGCAATTTACAGTTCCCCTTGGACTGTAACCTTTAAAGTAGTTAATAGAGCACTATCTTGTTGAGATGGATCTGAAAACAGAATTTTTACACACAGAAATGTACCATTTTTCAGCAACTATGTGTGTGTATCTTTATTACAACTACAACAGAGGACTAAAAATATTAGGTGAGTTAATCTGCTTCTTTACCTTTCTGAAAGGTCAAATATTTTTTCTTCTCATTACTATTTCATAGATCATTTTCCAACAAGTGCTGAATGCACAGAACCTGGAGGACAGGGCATCAAATTTTTTAATGACAACGATGTAAGCGGTTCACTTGCATTATTTCATTTGAAAAAACCTGATTATTCCTTTATTTCTGGAAGGTATAAGCTCTTCAGCAACTTCTTTACTAATATAGCAATATGCTAACACAATAAACTTTGTATTGAAATAGTTTGGTTACAAGGGCCCAGTGGGGTGGAAGCTGGGAGTGTGGTCTTTATTTATGGTGCCATAAGAACTGGCAAGGTAGCTTTCTGTGTCAGTACAGACAGCCTTGAAGCCTGTGGGAAAAGCTTGGCCTGTGCTGCTCTGCAGCAAGCTGAAGCAAGTTATGAGAGTAATCAGTTATCATTACAAAAGTGACTTGCGTAGCCTTCACAGGAGAGTAAAAACCAGTCTAGGAGCAGGTGTATCAGGAAGGCCCCTGGGCTTCCATCTTCCTCCCTCTCTTGCATGTCTGCCTGATATTCCACAGGTGGAATTTCATTCGAGGTAGCAATGAATGGTGCCCAGGGGATCAGGGTCTACATTCAAATTTCCTACCTTTAAACCTCAGCTCCACCACTCACAGTCAGCTGAGTAAACTGGGGATGACTTCTAACTTTGAGTCTTTTTGTAAATTAATGAGCTTGTCTGTGAAAGGCGGTGAGCCAGCACCTGGCTCATGGTTTATCTTCAATATGTGTCTGTTTTTATTACTATTTGTTGTTTAGACTTAACACATCACCTATTCAAATGCAAATACCTGGGGAGGCCTGTTGTTACTGGTTACACCTTCCAAGAGATTCTCACCATTTTCATGTCAGTGAGGATGTAGTGAGTAAAAAAAAGATCCAGGACTTAAACTTGGGAGAAGCAGGGAATCAAACTGAAGGGAAAAAGTAGCCTTGACATTTGTTTAGAACCCCAGTCATTTTTCTACACGGAAAAGCACCCAAGTGTTGCAGCTACCCAAGTGCAAACCCTCGCTGTCACAGAAATGCAATATAACTGTGGAACACAGATGACAGGACCAAGTCCGCAGGACCCCTAGGACTGCTTTCTCTCTATCAACTGCTCCACTTCAGAGGACTCTCTGTAGACTTTTTATGATATCCAATATTGAACTGCAGAGCAGCCCATCTACTCTTGCTTTTCTGACTTGCCAAGGCACAAGTTCAAAATCTGAACACTGGTGTGTGTGGAGGTGTGCACGCCCTGGCGTGGCTGCCCACATTGGATTCTGGGGCTGGCAGCCAATGAACAGCCACCACCCTCTCTAAAAGCAGTTGCCTTTCACACTGGGTGGAGACTTCCATTGGCAAAGTCATCCATTGCCACCATAAATCAGTCATTTCAACATCCCTCCTGTCCAGCAAGGAGAACAGAGCATTTTGGAGTTGAGTTAAGCTATTTGGTACAAAATGGATGAAATATTCTTATATTTCTCCCCAGGATGCCCAGGAGAGGCTGGTTCTGACCCAAATTATTCCCATTCACTATTTCAGAGAGATTTCATTTCACCTTCTGGGTGAGGGAGTGGACACATACAGACGCAAACACATTCACACATCTAGCTCCCAGTACAGCATGACGTACTGACCTGTTAGGCCGGCGGCCTCAGCAGACAGGAAGGCACTCCAAGAAAGGAGGAAAAACAGGCCTGTTTCCAGCATTGGGAACTCACACAGCTTGGTAAATTTGGTCAAGTGACAAGATGTGTTAAGGGAAACAACAATTGCTTTTACAGCTAAATCTTCGTGTTGGCTGAGAAAATTTGATATAGTGATGATATTTTAGAACTAAGAAGCTGATTTTCAGATGTGACAGAGGGCATCATGACCACTGGACCCTGCTTGGAAGACCAGTATAAGTTCAATGATTCACTGGGGGCTGAACATGCCTGCAAAAACTCAAACCTGTGTTCAGGTGAAAAGGTGTCTATTAAAACCAGTGTACTGTACTGTAGGTACCAAGCCTCTTGAATTTGGCCCAGGCTTTAGGGCATGCCTGTTAGGAGAATTGCAGCAGGTACAAGAAAACAGAGCCAAGAGCACGTGGTTGAAGGTGGTGCTGGTTCTTGGCCAGTGCAGCCTGTGGGCAGTTTCCTCACCCCTCTACCAATAGAACCTTTCTTCCTAGACATGAAAGCAGGATGGGAGAAGCAGTTACACTCAGTGGAAGGGAATCTTGCCCATGTCCGAGGATGGAGGGGAAGATATATTATTTCTAGGTCAGATAAGACACCCTTGGGTAGGCAAAGGTTCATTTTGGGATGGATGACTCTTGGGCAATAGTTTGTAAATTGCAAACACAACAAAGGGATAGTGATACAAATTTGGCAAAGAATGGGTTTTGGGGAGATGGTAAGGAATGTGTGATTGATCAGAAAAGATTACATTATAATTGTGTCCATATTAGGCATAAAATGCCCTGGCAGATAAGGAGATGCGATTATGTTGCAATTTTACGTTTCCAGAGCAAAATATAAAGCAGATTCCACCTTAAAAGATATTTAGCAGCAGGTTAGGGAAGTTGGGGTGAAGTATCAGGGTCTAATTCTTGACTTAGCCAGTCAGTGGGTGTGTGATTTCTGAGCAGTATATTAACCTATCTGATCCTCATTTCTTTCCTATGTGAACTGGCAAGAAAATAATACCTTTTTCTATAGTGTGAAGAGTGAAATGAGATGAAGTATGTTAAAAATGTTTCATTAAGTTTTAGGAAGCACAGAACACCAAGAGGCCAATAATACCAAGGTTGGAAGTGTGGCCTCTGGAAATGGGATCTACCTGGAGGCAAACTCACTTCATCCACTTGGACATGTCTCTGAACCACTCTATGCTTCTGATATCCTTTTAGTAAATGGGGTAATAGCAAATATACCTCATTGCTATGTAAATAGGTTAACCTATGTTATATATGTTAACATATATTGAACAGTGCCTGGCAGACAACAAGTGATGTATAACTTTCACTGTTGTGATTTAAACTAATTGGTTAAGTAATTTTTTAGGTAAAGCATCTCTTCTGAAAATAGAATCAATAAGGGTCTGGAAGCAATTCTTTACCTGGAGTGAGCTGCCCTTAGGCCCTTTTTCAAAATCTCTCTCTACCGGGGAGGGAAGGCTTTGTATCTGGAGGAGTTTACTCTGAATTCCCTCCTCTAGTTTGTTTTAAAGAGAGGGCTCAGGCCAGTTTGAGTAACAGAATATCAGAGCATTCTTTTTTATTTAACTTCTTCCACAAAGTCCTTCAGTTTTGAGTCAGTCCCCAAGTCCAGAGTCTGAAGCAACAGACTAGGAGGACTGTCAGGTTACGAGAATCCTTGTTGCAAGACGTCCAGGGTATTGGGTGGAGGGAACAGCAGTGGGCACCTGTCTCCTTCACAGCCTGTGTCTGTAAAGCCTGTGAAAGGTCACCAAATGCCTCATGATCAGCCCACAGACCACAGTTCTTCTGTGATTGACCCCACCCCATCTCCTCTGCTCTATGCCTTTTCTTCCAGATATAATCTTGTGGCAGACCTCCAGCCTTTAGAATTGTTTCCTTCCCTTACTACCTGCTCACTTCTGTATCTACACCTCCCCCTCATGTCAGCCAAAGCAAACTTCTGATCTCAGCTTCTCCACCTAGTGTGGATTCTGGAGCTGAAAAGCCTGGTTTTGAATTTTGGCCCTGAAACACCTAGCTGGATGGCCTTAGCCAAGTTGTTTAACCTTAATGGCCTGAGTTTCTTCAACTGCAAAATTGGCATAATAACACTAGCTACCTTCTGGGATCCTTATAAAAGCTGTCTAAGACAATCCAGGCAAAATGCTTAGGGCAATGGCTGGCACATGGTACAGTTCTCAGAAAATGTTAGATGATATTATTATTATCATCATGCTCTTTATTACTGATATGTGACCCAGAGTGTGGTCTGTTACCACCCAAAGCCTCAGTTTCCTTGTGTGTAGAGTGAGGACAATAACAACTTGTCTCTTGGGGTTGATTCAAATGCAGAGGAGCACATAAAAGCCATGTCAGACACTCACTAAATATTCTATCATCACTATTAGTATGGTAAATGACATATGCCCTCTACCTCAGTTCCACCTATGACTAGGGGCATGGTCTGCCTCTTGAGTCTCCATTTTGGGGTTCACTTACTGACTGTGTGACCTTGGCCAACAGCTTCCTCTTTCTAAGCATTATGTCCAATAAAAATAGAACTGATGGTTGTGAAGGCTGGAGAAGGCTTTGCATGTGAAACATAGCAGGGCACCTGACATATCATAAATACTGGGTTGGATCATTGTTTTTTGGTGGAAACCATTTATTCCTGTCAATGGAGTGCCATTTACCAAGTTCTAGGAGTAAACTTTGGAGTGGGCTTTGACTCTCTTCTCTTCTTTATCTCTTATAAACAGCTGATTATTTGGTCCTACAAATTTTTCCTTCTAAACATTGGTCTCCCTTTCTGATGCTCTCCAACAATTCATCATCACAGTTTTCCTTGGTTCTAATTCCCTTCCTTTGAGCCATCCTACATACCAGATCCTAATATATTTAAAAATATAACTGTCAGTGTGTCCCTCTTCTGAGCAGAAAACCTTCAGCGGCTAATTGCGGACTGTAGAAGGAAATTCAGCCTCTTAAAAACAAACAAACAAACTACTCCACAAGTGTTTTCATCTCACTTATGTTGCCTCATCTTCCATTTCTCACTTGCAGGAGCCCTGTGGTCCTATGGTGCACATCTGCCATGCGTCCATTGGTCAGTCCCACCTCCACACCTTAATGAATTTTGGTCTTCCTCTTCTGAATCACTTACTGCATAGCTTTAGTTTACATCCTACTTATCTTCTAGGCTAAGCCCAGGCCCTACTCTGCATCTAAATAACGCTTCTAAAATTACTCATCAGGATGGAGTAATTGGCCAAGTCTATTGGACTATTCCAGATACAATGACCTTGTCTCTATTTGAATTTTTATAGCAGTAATAAGTTGCATATGACTTTGGCACTCACTTTCTATTCAGCTTCTAACGTAGAGTTTGTCTTTCCAAGTTTGTCACTCACAGAGGGCAAAGACCATGTTTTTACTCATCCTGACTCTTTGTAGGCACCCTCAGTAGAACTGAGCCGTTCAGCAGCTGCTCACTGAATCTCTGGACCACTCCTCATAGAATAAGCCCCAACATTTTGTTTTATTTTTCTTGGACCCTTACCCTTTTGACACACTTCTTCCTTCTCTTTTCTCTGTGGCCCTCCATCTTTTGCTTTGCCTTTTCTCTCTGGTCTTCATTTAGCCCTAACACTTAGCACTAGTCGTCTGATTTCCTCTTCAACTTTGACTTACCTTGGTTCCATCCACTATTCTAGGTGAAAAGCCCACTAGATCAGTGTTTTTCCCTGGCTCAGATCCTTTTAGGAATTCTAACTTTCCTCCCAACTCCTAATAAAAAAAAAAGAAATCCACTAATACAGTTGCTCACATATGACAGACCTGTCTTTCCTGCATTGCTTGCATGCCCCTTTCTATAAAGTAACTGTGGATGCTTTGAAAACCCACTGCGATCATTGGTGTGGCCTACCCTGTGAGCTAGCAATTGACATGGTTCTAAAAGAGGCAGAGGGGCTAGTGGAATGGCTCAAGTGGTAGAGCTCCTGCCTAACAAACATGAGGTCCTGAGTTCAAACCCCAGCACCACCAAAAAAAAAAAAAAAACCCTCAAAAATAAAAGAGGCAGGAACATACTCAGTGTTTCATTCCACTCAATCCTGTCTTGTTCTTCACCCTGGATCTTCAGTTCTTCCTTCTGACCCTAGTATAGCTAATCCTAATGTTTCATGCCTACTAGTTTTCCTGGATGACATTTTTGAAATGTTGTTAATAGTCTAAGGCCAAACACTATCAATAGAGCTAGAATTGACCTTGGACAAGAAAAGAACCTGGTTCATTCTGCCATTGGTATCAACCTACACCTCCTGGGATCATCTTGAACCAAGATGGCCTCAGCAATGCTATATTGAATTTGATCCTTTCTATCTCACCATATGCTGGCCTGGAAGTTGTTCATCCTCAGAAACATTCTATGGACACTGACTGCTCCTAAGAGTCCCCAGCTTTCCATGTGTAAACAAAGGATATCAGTGCTGTGACAACAGCATATGCAGACCCCATTGCAAATGAGCCAGCGAAGATTCCAAGGAAATTCCCCACGGACTGGAAGAATGCTGCAGTGTCAAACGCATTTGGGTTCTCCTTGGGACTGTAAATGGATATAGAACTGAAAAGAGAAGAGGGGACAGGTTAGTTATTGACTTCCATCTTCCATTGCACCCCATTTTGGGAGGGGCATCCTTTCTTAGAAGGCTGGGTACTTGTTGGAGGAGTTGAAGGGAAAAAGACGACGAGTGGAGAGGAGGAAAAAGCTGATAATTTTCCCCTTCCTTACAACCCAATCCCATGGTATCCATCTATTGCTGCCAGTCAGTAAACATTTTTATATTGGAAAGGTCGTAAAGAATATTGTTTCTGAGCAAACTAGGCATTAAAACATGGTAGGTGTATAAGGAATCTGCTGAGCAGATAGATAACTGTGAATTATTTAGTGGCCATATGTCTTCAGTGCTGTTATATATTCACAAATGTTCCTGATAAAAAGTGCACTTTTATGGCCTGTACACAAATGGGCGATACAAATCACAGTGTGCACAAAATATTCTGCTGTGATCTTGTCATAAACCACAAAGCATTCCTCTTCTCCAGTGTAACCCCTCAGAAACAGAGCCCGTAGTAGTGTTCAGACCATCACAATATTAATCCCCAGGGAGAGCGAAACCCTCATTTTCCCACCAAAACAAATGGCAGCAGCTGCTCAAGGTCATCTTTTATACCCCAATTCCGGTGGCTGCCAACAGATTTATTTCCATAGAGAAAACCAATCTACCAATAGGTAGCCTGCTAACTTAAATATTTTTGAAGATGTTGCATTTACTTTTTTTTTAAAGCCTCAAATCCCAGAGTGTTAATAGGAAGGACAAGGTATGTCCTATTTTAGAAAATATGAGCTCCCCATATTGTAGAATTAAAACAAACAGATGTGCTCAAACTGGTAGGTTCAAAGACTAATGAAGTTACAGTTTTGATTGTAACATGGAGTCTTGAGACTAATCAGGAAAATCAAGCATTTGTGGGTGGATTCTGGAATGGATTTTCTAGAGGTATAGAGTCAACAGTATCCTAAACATACTTACTGAGATTAGATTGGGTTTTACAGAGATGTAACTGAATCTTTTATGTTCGGATGATTAGTGCGTGTTAACTTTCTGACCTGACTTTTTGCACCCAGAGACTATTTAAGAGAGAGCAGGGGTAGCAGATTCCAGCTCTCCTACAGGAAGATATGTGGCATAAAGCAGGTAGCTTTAAATGTTCTGAGGTTTTTCCCTGGATGTCTTTAAACCCCCAAAGTAGGCCAAACACTTCTGCTTTGATCCTGTAATTGGATAAGAGGGATGAATGTGGGTCTTGAATGGAGCCCTGAAATGTATGCGAGGAAAGGAGTACCTTTGAAGTGTCTCTTTTTTTGTGCAGTGTTATGCTTTGCAGGAAAAAAGGGAAAAGCAAACCCACATTGGGATCCTTTGTATCTGTCATTCCAGGGGAAAGGTGTAAAAACCTTGTGGTGGTTGGAAACCTGGTGCCCAAGGCTGTGAAGTCTGATGTGTTCACCTTGACATCCACCAGCATAATTCTTCATTTCAGTGAAGAAACGACGTGATGAGAAAATGCTCTATTTCATTCTTCCCTTCAAACAAAGGCTTTTGCACAGTACTGTAGCTTTGTAAATAAGTGAAATCCCCAAGGCTACTCCAGTAGATCTGACCCTTTGAAAAGGCAGCTCTCTATCCTCACCTCTACCTCACATCCCCAGAAGTGTTTCCTCTGTCTGATGTACCTGGACCTGGGACCACCACCATCACTAATTCAGCCATATCTGGTGCCATTATTTATGTAGTGTTTTTCTTTAAATCAACTAATTTTTATTCAAAAATAAGAGCTTCTATGATAGTACACCTATGGAATCATAAGTTTGGTGTGCTAAATATATTTTTAATACATTTGAGATTGTGTAATTTCACCAAAACTATCCCTGTATGTCACCTAAACTTGCCTGGGTAACCCCATTGATTTGCATTCTGCTCTTTGGGAGGTTTTGTTCTCTTCCAGCCCATCCAACAGGGCACAGCCTCTTTGTTTGCCCACTTCCATCCCCTTCCCTGTGATGTTTGGCTTAGATGAAGGGAAAGGCTTAATGCCGCTTGGTCTCTGAAGACTGTCCACTGAATTTGCTGGTCCTAAGGCTTTCCAGGGAGTATGTACTGGGTGCCTGCTAGATGCTGGGTGATGCACTAGGTACAGGATGCTGGAAGCAGATGGGCAGTTGAAAACAATTTGATTCAACAAACATTTTGTTAACACCTGATTTATGCAAAGTATACTTAGGCAAAGAAGCCTAAAATATGGATGACAAGTAGCTCTAGGTTCAGTTGTGGTGGTGTGAGAATACACAACACGTAATTGTATAAAAGAGGAAACATGCACTATTTTTACAATAAAGGAGCTGTTATTTGAGCAAGGTATCAGGTCAACACACAGGGATGGGGAGAGGGTATTCCAGGCAGTGGAAAGAGTATGAAGAAAGGCAGGGAGGCAGGTGGGTTTAGGGCACATTAAGAATGGCAGAGTGGTTGCGGTTGGAGCTCAGGGAGTGTGTACATGGGCCCATGTGAGGGGTAAAGGTGGGTGAGGTGGCATCTCTCAGAGCCTTCACTTCCATGCTAAGAATACCCAAAAGCCATCCCATTAACATAGTATTTATCCTTTCATGCTCACACTCTAACTTTGCTTAATCCTATAACATCTCTGTGAGCTTCCTTCTTTTTATAAAATAAAGAAGCTGAAGAAAAGAGAACTTTGAGTCACACAGCTAGCAAGTTTGCCATGTAGCTTTCTTGTTTCTTCCCTGAAAAAGGGATCTTTGGGGGAAAAACCCATTAACCCACATTAGGGTTAGTTGAGGATAGTTGAGTGACACTGCTGCACTGACTGAAAGGACAATGAGAACTCAGGACGGAGACTTCATTTTCATGCCTAGGATGGAACACGGGCTCCACCTTCCTGTTGGCAAGGATGAGTAGCTTACACTGACCATGAGCAGGTGACCCACAAGTTCTTCAGGAAAACTTGCTTCATGCCTGGCTTCCATGCCCAGACCCGTAACTTCACTGGGCCTGGCCTGGGCCTGCTTCCTTTCTGTGTGCCCAGGGCACAGTGTGGCACCTCACATGTGACAGGCTACAGAAAGGCTAATGGAATGAAGACTAGACTGGTAAGTAGAAAGGAAGAAATGCTAGAAAGAAGGAGGCTTGTAAAAGCCAGTCATCTCTTGGAAGGAACCATCCGTCTCAAGACGTTTTTTTTTGGCGTTAACTCTATGGAGTCATGTTGTGGGTACTTGTGGAACCATCAGGCTGACCTGGAAGATGATTCTTGTGCCTCTTTACTTGAGCCACAAATTTGACACTTGTTGGCTGTACAGCCTTGGTCAGGTTACTTTGTCAGACTGACTATTTTGTTGCTTATTAAATGGAAATGATGATAGTACTGGTCCTTCAGAAATGTCTTGGGGTTATAGGACACATTTAAACTCGTATCTGTGTCTTAGGGATTCTGGGGCCATTCACCAAGCGCTTATGGGCATTCAAAACAAAAAACTGTTATTTATCATTGCCTTCATTGTCATCATCTTGCTAAGAACATCCACAGGGGTCACAGTGACATACAGCAAAAAGCCATGTACTGAATCAAGCCTCAGTTCCAACTATGGACAGAAGGGGTGGCTGCCCTGCTGTCACAGCTTTGAGGGTGTTAGAGAGAAGCGAGTCACTTTTTCACAGGAACAGAAGTGGTTTCAGGGAGAGGAGGTACCAAACAAGCACCCTAGGGAAACAGTTATAGGAATGAGGCTGAAAGGTTGTCATGCTTGTCACAAAGCTCTTGAGTCAAAGAGGGAAAGAAGTGTCCTCGGCAGGCTGGCCAGGGGTCTTCTCCAGGGACAAGAATAGGCTGGGTGACTCTGTTGCACTTCACCAGGTTTCCTGAGGGATGCTCTGCAGGCAGTGCCCTCTGTCTCCTGGTGAGGCACGAGATAAGGTGGGGAAGGACGAAGTGCAGGCAAGAAGGAGGTGTGCAGAAGCTACTTGTCTCTAGGGAGGCTGCATCTCTCTGCACTGCCAGGAGTTTAGAAAGTTGCTCCTCCTGGCTCTTTCTCCTGGCAAAAGAATTCTCAGAGCTCTGGTTTCCAGTTACAACACTAAGCCTATGGACTTGGGAGCTGCAGCTGCAGGGATTGGTGCTGGAAGCAGTTGAGGATTTGGGGAGCAAATGTGGAACTTTCCAGTTTCTATCCAAGGGAAAAATATCATTATTTAAGTGATTTCAGCCTTTTGGACTTAGCCCTTGTGCCAATCCCAACTGAGGCATTAGTGGATGGAAATACTGGAGGGGAAGAGGGAGAGAAAAGGAATCAGGTTTTCTGTTAACCTGGGCAGTGGTTGTTCTTTGGAACACCGGAAGAGGCACGGTTTATGGCACACACTGGTGAAGGTGGATCTACAGTCCCCAGACATTTTTGATGAAGATAGATACTTGAGTTGGATGGAACCAGTATCTTTGAAAATAATAAGACTAGAAATACACAGTGGTGTTTAAATATTCATCCCATAAATTGGAAATGAATCCAGGTTATTGATTTGTTCTGTTTAGGAACAGATTATTCAGCAAAAACTGGTTGATGACAGTATATTGTATCCATACTTAGAAATAAATGTGTGCAGCATCTTTTATTCAAAAAATTAAAAATGGATGAAATATCCTAAATTCCTTTGATGAAAGCAACATTAACAAGGAATTTTTTTTTCTGTGTACCATTTCAGTTTCACGTACACATGGAGATTACTGTTCTCAGCAATCACCTTTCTTGCCTATCTGAAGCTTCTGAAAGGAATTAGCCTTGCAGCACAGGGAGCGTTAAGAACATAGAGTCTGGATTTGAGATCTGGGTATAAATTTTGACTCTGTCTTATTGGCTGTGTGACCTTGAGCAAGTTACTTAAACTATCTGTACCTCAATTTCTGTGAAAATTAAATGAATTTGTGTTTAAAAAGCACTTGAAATGACATTTGACACCTAGAAGGAACTAGTCATTTCTTAAGTAAATATTTCTTCTTTTTTGAGTGACTTCTCTTTTCATTCCTGTTTCTGTATGACATTCTCTCTCTTTCTCTCTGCTTGCTTCAGTTCTAAAAGAAGTATTTCAAACTAGATGCCCAATAAACACCTCAATCCAAACAGAATGAAGACTTGGTCACCTGCTTCGCACACCCTGATTGACTAGTCCCTGATCAAATCTCTAGAGGGCAGGAGTCATTTGAACATATAAATTGTTTGTGCATATAAATTCTTGATATGTGGCATGTGTGTGCTCAGTAAATAGTAGTAGTGAAAAAGGGAATGAAGGAAAAAGCAAGAAAAAGAGGCAGAAGAAGAGGCACTGTGAGTGAAATGGTGCTGAAAGTGAAAATGAGCCAACAGTAAGGAAAGCATGAGGCATTGACACCACCATCATCCCTGCCCAGTGCCACCTGCCCTGTGACTCTGACCACCTTTCCATTCTGGACCCTAGTGAGTCATCAAGGTCCTGATCACTGCAATCTTCCTCAAGATCTTCCCGTTTCCAACATCATCCACTCCTGATATTCGCCATTGCTACTGCTGATATACTTTGCTACACAGTTACCCCTGGGAATTGCCCAAGCATCAGTGGCTTCAAGCTCCCAGGCAGATGTGCTTCAACAAAACACCCTCCTTGGCTTGCTCCTCCCAACTCCCACAACCTTCCTGCCACCCTGCTGCCTCATTACAAAAACATTTTCTCTATTCCTCCGGCCACTCTTACTTCCTTTGTTAACATGAAACCAATGTCACTTGAAAACTTCTAAAGAGAAAGTACCAAGTAAACACATTGTATCTTTTTCAGAATTTCTATGAATTTAATCATTAAAGAAAAACATGAGAAAATGATTACTATAGCCAAAGATATTCAAAAGAACCTTCTATTTTCACTGCCAAATCTTTAATCCCTAACAAAAAATTTCTAACTATTGGCACCAGTTCATGGAAGAGTTCTTGATTAGTTGGGACATAAATATGAAATGGTTTATTTTTTTCCCAATTACTGCATGCAGCTGTACTGTATTGAATCCCCCTTCATGCTGGGTTGGTGGTTCCATTAATGATGTCTTGGTCAAATTCCATTATTCAATTTGTTTTAGTGATTAAAAGTTCAGTCCAGCTTTAAACCTAAATCTTCAAAGCAAGCATTCTCCCTACAGAATATTCTAGGGCACTAACAGGGTGGCTTGAAAGGGAAAGGAGGCAGCACGGTCCTCCTTCTTTCACTTGGATACCCGTGCCTACTGGTGTTGGAGGCTGGCTCCAGTGCAGCCCCTTTTTCCTACGTGAGGGGAGAGAAAGTACCTCCATGGGGAGGCCTCGCAGCTGCATGCCCCAAACTCTGCACTCTCTCCAAGGAAGACCCCTCCGTCCTTCTCCACAGCTCAGGAATGAGGCTGCTTCATTTAATTAAGACAGTTGGGAGGTGTGTGTTCTTCCCTGATAGGGAGTCTTGATGATCTTTTTGTGGTCCCTAACCCCAATGTGGGAAACAGAAGACCTACAGGATGAATATATTCTGACTGGTGATGTTTACATCCTGGTGCTTATAGGTTCTTTCCTCCCACCTAGGTAACCTAGAGTTACCATGCCCTTCTGCTGTTCAAGATACCTTCTAAGGAGCATCATAACACAGAGGGGCAATGAAAATATGTAAAAGTTGTCCCATTTTCTTGGGTCTGGGTGTCACACACAAGA